TGCTTCCTTCTAGCCTCCCAGACATTGTGCAGGGCAAAACAGATCACACTCGTCTATACCGCATTTGCCATTTATGTCCACATGTGTTTTTTGACACAAATGCCTTTGCCTTTTCCTTGTCACCACAAGCCAGTTGCTAGAAGGCCTCTACCTCATGTCCTTGTGGATGCCTGGGATTCCCTGCCCCCAAATATCTTAGCACCAGACACTTATGCCGGGAGTACAAGTGTGTAAATGGGAAGCTAGAGTTTTAGCATAAGTGCAGTAATGCAACATAGATACCTGGATCTACGTTTGCCTGACCTGAGCTCCTGTTGGCATAAGCCAGGGTGTGGGTCTACCTTGTACTGCAGATATATCCTAAGCAGTCTATCTAACACTACCTTTTATTGCAGCTACAGATGTGGTGCAAAAAAGGGTAGGGACATCTATTTGCTTGCCACTTGTAGCACCATAAAAATCTGTAATATCAGGCAATGCCTGTTTCTGCCTTAAATCTCCCACTTCTTAGGCAAGTGCCAGGATAAAACAAGATGGCCATCCTCCTCTTTCAGCAGTTAGTATCTGCTAGTCACGATTTTTTGCCAAGCTATAACTTTAGGACATAAGTTCACTAAGGTATTTACATAAGGAAAGATTTACGCAGAAGCAGATCCAGAATTTGGCAAAGGGGGTATGGGAGCAGCTCCCTGCACTGCTGGGGTGGCTACACCCCAACTGCCAGACTCTTTTTCCTTCCCCCACTGGTACAAGCAAACCATGCCAGAGCCTCAGGGGACTTTTTTTAGAAGTCCCCAAAGCAGGTAAGAATCCCTCCTTTCCCTCTGCACCACATCGCCTCCCATCTCCTTCCACCCTCCCCTGTCTGCAGCTGTCACTTTTCCCCCTGTCCCAGGACTGGGGCAGCTTCCAAGCCACTTCTACCTGTTCCAGCCAGGCTATGTAGGGGCTGGGCTGAATTGGGATTGCAGTATCAGCAGTGATGGGTGTGATGGGTTCCCCCACTCTGACAGATCCACTGGGAGCAGCTGTAGGGAGCAGGAAGACCCAGCTCAGGGAGGGGGAATTCCTGCCCATAGCCACCACTGCTGTTGTTATCCCAGCTGAGCACAGCCCCCATTCAGCCTGGCTGGAGTGGGCAAGGAGAAGCTCTGAAGTTTCCCTGGCCTGGGACAACAGGGAAAGCAGCAGTGGCAGGCAGGGGAGTGGAGGGGACATGCCTCTGGGGGGAAGGGAAGAGGGATTCTCATCTGCCTTGGGAACTTTAAAAAGTTTCCCAGAGGGTCCTCTGGGGTGGTCCAGTCTAAAAGTGGAGTGTGGTCGCACTAGTGCATCCTCTTTGGATCCACTCCTGGACATAACAATCCAGCCAATTTGTGTCTACCGGACATACTCAGTAGCTTTGTGGATGCTTAACTAATACATTGAAAAAAGCAGACCCCATTGTTCATTCTGTGCATGATACAGAATCACTGGGTTAGAAGGGACCTCAAGGGTTATGTAATCCAACCTACTGTATGAATGCAGGGTGTGTAATTTCTGTATTGTTTCATATGCAACACAAGCTAACAAGCAAGAGAAGGGCACATCTACACAAGATGTGTACTACAAAGTTGCCTAATTAGCTCCAGAGCAAACATCTCAGCATCTACATGTGTGAATCTATTAGATCGCAGGAAATTAATTAACTAATTAACTCCGTAAATACAAGTACTATCCTGCTGCAGAGTTTTTTACTCCACAGCACTGCATGTGTAGATGCCGATACAGCTGGCTGGGCCATAAGGGTGCTTCCGTGTCAGGGCTGCCTGCCTGCTAGTCCTGCACTGGAGCACCCTCCTGCTCCAGCCAGTCCCTCCACAGTGCATTGAGCCAAGCCAGAGCAGCACTGGCCTGGCAGGCTAACCCTCCCCAGGGCCCCCTGGCAGACAGGGCTGCTCTGACCTGGCTCAATGTGCTGCGGTCCCAGGTACATGTTCAAATAGCATGTCCAGGAGCAATAAGCTCTGATGCAAGATGTGGTGGAGTTTATTGCTCCACATTAATTGTTGATGTGGCCAAGGAATACTTAAGGCAAGCAGCGGTATATACCACCTACTATCCCACCCAGAACTAATCCTTACCACTAGTTCAACCTTCTAACACCAGTGAAAGGACCACAATCTTAACACATCCTAGTGAGAATGCTATTCATCCGTTTTCCTTTCTAAATTCTACCTATCCCCTCCAAACCAAAGCTGACCAAACACCTCCTGCTGTCAACCATCTCTCATGCATAATTCTGTAAAACTCCACATACTTGGTGTGAAGAAATCCTGCCCCCTGACTCCAACCCTCACTTGGGTCAGCCCAAGTGACCCCTCTTTCTCCTTGCTTTCTTCTTGGTTCAGGCTGGTCAATCAGGTGAACTGGCCAGATAAAATTCCTACGGGAAGGGGGAAGCCCTCTCTTCCTTACATCAAGCATTTTGAACACTACAAGCAAGCACCTCAGGCAGCTGCCTGGTGATTTCTGTAAGTAGAAACCTGGAAACCTGCCAGAAGTTAGGAATTATGTGTAGGCCAGTTGCATCCTAAAAGGGTCACCGTATCCAATCTCTATAAAGACTCACATTGCTTTTGTTTGCTCAGTGTATTCTGACTTCCCTGTTCTACCCCTGCTCTCAACCCCAATCAATAAAGGTGTCAGGTTACAACCTGCAGTGCTGGGCACTGAGAGAGAGAGAGACCTTCCACTCCATGCTTGGCCAGTAAAGTTTGTCTTTCTATTTTCCCTCAGTTCTACCTGATGCTGTCTTGGGATGCTTCGGGCTGAAAGAAGCACCCAGAAATATTACTGTGGGCAAAGCACTCCCCCAAGGTTCACAGGTTCCATGTGCCCCAGGGTGAACAGAGCCCTAACAGAGACCAGTGGTGGCAGCGTTACCCCAGGCTTGCAGGGGTACAGCCAGCTGTAGGCTCCCTGAGAGAGACTCCCAAAGTGAGGTTTGGGGCCTGGCACAGTGAGGTGGGTGGCCCTGCATAGTAGCGCCCCCTACTGTGCTGCCACACTTGGTTTTAAAGTGAGTGGAGACATTGCTCCCTGAGCTGCTGTTATTAAGGTTGTATAGCATATATGGTCACATAATCCTATGTTACATGGTCTTGCTTATTTTAAAATGTTGAACTTCTGTAGAAAGTGATTCATCGTTATTGTGCAATAGGACTATATCATCCACTTTTTTTTCCAAATGCAGAACAGAAATAATTATTTAATATTCCTTCCTTGTCTGCACAATTGACAATTATACTGTCTTCAACTAATAGTACACTTATGCTAATGTTTGTTAGGATTCCTTTTTGTTTCAGATTACTTTTTTTAAAGATGCCTTCCTACTAGTCCCCCCTTACATTAATCATAGGTTTTTTTGTACCTTTAGCATCCTGTATCAATTGTCTGCACTTTTTAACTTTTAATTTAGATTTATTACTGTCAACCTTTCCCTTTTTCCTTTAATTTTATGTTGTCCTTTTTTTCCAAACTTGTTGTTCATTTTTCTCTATCCCCTGCAATTAGGATATTTCCACTCATGTGTTCTTCTTACATGGGGTCTTGGGTAGAGGAAGAGGGGAGTTGCAGGGGTTGGGACAGGGTCACAGTTTTTAATTTGCATTACCCTGAAACATGGATTTAGGAGACTGGAAAACACACTTTGTTCCAAAAATGTAAAGAAGCTTATATAAAATGTTAGCATACACAGCTGGTGCCATTAAGAACACAATACTATAATAGCTGCTCTCCTTATGTAAGCCTGGGCGCAACACTACATGCGCCCTCACCTGAATAATGGGATCCTGGGGTACCCGGTAGCCAGTAGCCCTGCCCAGCCCCCTTGGGAAGCTGCTGCAGTGCCCCTGAGCGGAGAGCCTCCCCTTACAATCAAGCACCCTCGCAGACAATTCTCAAACTATTTACAAGATTTAATTATTTACAACATAAATAATCATTAAATAAGCACATGGATATACCAATTAATAAACCCTCAAGAACTTATTTACACAGTCTCACTTGCACATGGTGTACTAGGGATCCTGTGTGCGCTGCCCCTGGCAGAGTATATCAGGGAGCGGGACTGTCTGTGTCCCTGCACATGGTCTGTGAACGCTCCCTAGCGCTGGTGTCCGTCCCCCGCCCCCGGCTCTGCTGTGCTCACCCAGCCACACCGGCTGCAGTCTGGGCTTTCCAGGCTTGGATTCTCCACACAAGCAGTCCCTGCCTGCTCCTGCCGCTGCAGCTTCTCCACTGCTGCTCCTGCAGGCCTCTCTCAGGGGCTCTCCAAGGGACCACTGTGCTGAGACTCTGAATCTGGTCTCCAGCCGGTCCCTCAGCCCCCTCTCTCTCTCTGGTTCCCCCCGCAGGAAAAACTGCTCCCGTTTTATCCAAGCCTCTCAGCCAATCCCAGCTCAGGGCCCTTCCTGGGCTTTTGCTAACGGCTCTCTTTCAAAATTTTCCTGGGGTTATATCACCCCTTCCACTTCCAACAGGGCTGTTTCCAAAACAGCTTCACTTGCCCTCAGAGCCTACAGTGTCCCCTCTGGGAGAAACTCTGTCTCTCTGCCAGGCAGCCCTTCCCATTCTGTTCAGGTGGGTCCATTTTTTAAAGGTTGCTACACTTAGATCTAGTAATATGCATATAAATAAATCAATTCAAAATTATTAAGCAAAATGTAATATTATGTCCCTGTAAACTATCTGAAATAGCAGGTATGCAATTGTATGTTACAATTACTTTTTTGAATGAGATTTTAAAAACCAACAGATTCCAGAATCCATGAGTGAGTTTGGCCTAGTTAGCTAAACACAATTTCTGTGAAAATACTGTGGCAGCAGCGTGCACTTTTCAGTTCACTGAAGTAGGATCCCATTCATGAATCATAGAATGACCTGGGAGAATAAGGGGTAAAAGACCATAGCAAATTAGAAGTCAAGTCTAATATGTATGTGTGTTTCAACTGTTTCAGCTTAACATTCTAAAAAATCCCCGGGTGTGGCTTGATGCAGCCACCCAGATTTTCTTCTCTCTCTCTCTGGCTTTTGGAGGACTCATAGCATTCTCAAGCTACAACCCACCAAAGTAAGTACACCTATACCTCTGATAGGTTATCTTCCCTGGTTGTTGTAGTCTTTTACAGAAATCATAGAGATTATAGTTCATAGAGATCAGAGAAATAGGGCTGGAAGGGACTTCCAGAGGTCATCTAATCCACCCCCCTGACTGAGGCCAGATCATCTCTATCCAAACCACCCTATACAAATCCATAATCTAACCTCTTAGTAAAACTACTGTCAACCCTGACACAACATAAGACATAACATCCTAACCAGCCACAACTAAAGCAGAAGAACCATGGCAGCCAATGACTTGCTTCTGTAAAAGGTTGTTAATATACACTCAAGAGATCCCAGATAGAAGGCCATGGCCCCTGGAACAGACGAAGGCAACCCCACCCCATACCAATTTGTCCATGGGGTAAAATTCCCTCCTGAACCCAAATATGGTGATTAGTCTGACCCTGCATGGAGGGGCAAGACCCTTTAGCCAAGAACCTCTGGCTTTAAGTCCCAACAGGAGCACTGGCACACCCCAGGAAAAATCCCCAGCCTTGACTGCAGCCAACACTCAATGCCTCTGAGGAAGGCTTTTTAAAAACACCCTGACACATGTAGCAGAAAGGAGAGATGGCAACCAGGAAAGCCCAGAAACATGGGAACTATATAGATTTTTAAGCTGTCAAAACTAGTATTTGGTTAAGATACTTGCAAACATGTCCAGACTGTAAATCTGTATTTCAAGTGGATTAGGTACTCAACCTCTGGTCCACAGAGCCAAGCCAGCTGTCCTGTGGGGCTCCTTACAGGTCTGGAAATTTGGCAGTGGGGAAGCCATGCTGCCCTGTTCCCTTGCTGTCAAATTTTTGGACCCATGGGAAGCCCTGAAGGCCAGATAACATGGCCCAATGCACAGGGCCAGGCCAGCAAATAGAGCTGTGTTGCAGCCAGATCTGGCACAGGGTGCTGGGCCAGCAGGTGGGTCCATGCCTGTAGACCAATCCTGATGTAATCCCCATGCTAGATCTGGCCCACGGATCAACTCCAAGTCACACATCCAACCTGCAGGGCCAGAAGGTTGAGTGCCACTGGATTCGATGATGGAAATTAAAATGACCTATTTTAAACCTCGAAAGATAATATGCCCCTCATCTAAATCTTGAGCATTTGCAAGAATATCCTGAATATGGTTTCTCAAAGACACTTGGCCTTTTCCTCAGCCGTCTTTGCTTCTTCGAATTTGATGAAGACTGTAGGGGGATTTGATAACTGCCTTCAAATACTAAAAGGGTGATTATAGAGAGAATGGAGATGGGCTTTTCTCTGTGGCCACAAAAGACAGGACTAGGAGCAACAGCTTCAAGCCACAACAGAAGAAATTTACGCTGGAGATTAGGAGGAACTTTCTGACTCTGAGGGCGGTCATGCATTGGAACAGGCTTCCTAGAGAAGTTGTGGAATCTCCATCCTTAGAAACTGTCAAGAGCAGGTTGGACACAGACACTTGACTGAGATAGTTCTGCCTTGAGCAGAGGGCTGGCTAGACTAGAGGACTTTTCTATGCTCCTAATTATTTAATGTGTTATATAACAGTGCACTGAAAATATGACGTGGTTAACTCAACACTGAGCTGTACCAAGAGCATGAAAGGCAATTCATGACCTGGAAGCTAGTTTACAAATGTATCATGACCTCTGTTAAGGCTCAGCCACCATTCAGATAAAGTTGTAACAAATGATTTAGGAAGAAATGCTGTTTTTTCTTTCATTCTTCTTGTAGCTTAAAAGATCCCCAGCAATGTAGGGGAAACTTTCACAAAAATGTACTGTATGAGAGCAAGCATACCACACTCCAGGAAAAAGTAAATTTTTGAGAAAATCTTACAAAAAAAGAAAGCCCCTTACTAAAACAGAAATATATATGCAACTTAAGCAGAGCATAAAGCTCAATTTGTGAGGAACAAATCTTGGTCATGAATTCTGGAAAAGTTTTTCTATAGTTTCAAGTGGAGCCAGCTTTTGATCCCAAATGGAAGTCAGTTACTACATTTTTTCTACACATCATGCTGTCTTGTGGGGGTAGGAATGTAGACATTGGTGACTGTTACTGGAAAGAATGCAGCCCGTTTCTTCTCGTTCATGTGGGTGTATGTAACAGGGTTTCCTAGATTCTACTGCTAACACCACTCTGTAACAAGCAGCCCTTCAGCCTTATAACAAGAGTAACCTATTTATTTACTGCTTCTCACCCTTTTTGAAGCTATTCCCATCACAAAACAGGGCACCCATAGCCTTCTGCAGAATGTGGATGTTCATAGCTTCCCTTCCCTCTTGCAGCCACCCCAAATCTCACTTATGAAACTTGTCAGCCACTCCAGCCTTATGAGGTGCTCATCTCTCATAGACTAAAGAGGCCAAACTGTAGGAGGATATATTGTCCCCTATCAGCATGCAGGCCCCCTATGTCTTCCTCCAAACTTTTATGTCCCAAGACTCTTTTTTCAAAGCTGAAGCATATCAGTATACAACCCAGGTCAGTCTCCCATTCTCAGCTGTTACATCCTGGCCACTTTTCTTAACTTCACCATCTGCGCTTGGCCCAGTTCTAATATTCCACTATAGCCAAACAATCATGCCTCTGGTATCTGAAAACCACCACTTGCTCCATGCATCCTGTTCCCCTGGGTGCCTGGCTGCCTTGTTACACCTGTGAGATTTATGGATTAAACTGTAGGATAATGATTAAAAACAAACTGTATTGCTAACATATATGAGTGGAATAACCGCTGCCTTGCTTTGTAAATATAGTTCATTTTATTCTCTTTCTAGAAATGACTGTGAAAAGGATGCTGTGACAGTAGCTGTTGTAAACAGCATAACATCACTGTATGCTTCCATACCAATTTTTTCTGTTTTGGGGTTTAAAGCAACTACTAGTTACTGGGACTGCCTGGACAGGTAAGACACTTTGTTTTTCAGATGCTGTGCTGCTGCCTATATGTTTAGATTGATAATATGGGTATTGCAGAAACATAAAATACAAAGATTAAAATTTCTACTGAAGGGGAACAAATGATATAGATATAGATATATATGAGCTGTTCCTCTTCAGTAGAAACATAATATTTGTATGTGTATATGCATGCACGTGTGCGCACACACACACACACATATATATACACATAGAGAGGAAGCTGAATATAAAAATGTTTATGGCATAAAGACAATAAAACAGTACTGATCATAATTATTAAACGCAAAACAAATAAACAAACACTAAAATAATTCATCATCATCGTCATCATTTTTTTAAATTAGTTACACCTGGAAGCTCCTTTCAGAGTTCAGTGCTAAACTGTACTAAGTGATGGGCAAACAAGTAGTTACTTTTTCTGCCCAAAAGGGCTTACTGTGCAGGTTAGTGACAAGACACAGCAGGTGAGAGTGAGGGAGAAAAAATGAGATAGCAACTATATGAGCATGTGTTTTACCTAGACTAGCTGTGCATGTGGCATCTGCATGAAGGAGTCAGCAGACAGTATTATATAGTTAAGCCCAATATTTTTCTGCTAGCAATTTTTATATCAATATTCTCACTTAACAATTTGCATTTCTTTTATAACCTATATTACATAAAATGGAATACAATTCCTTATGAATATTCGAAAGAATGTATGCTGCACCATAAATATCTATAGTTCTGAATGTTGCCAAATCAGTCTGCAGTTGATAATGATCTGTGACAAACGAGTCTGTAATCTCAGTGTAATGTAGCTATAAACTAAATATATCAAAAACAATTCCTGTAAACTCAATACAAAATGCTTAAATGAGTTGACTTCTCCAACAGGAACATTATTAGTATCATCAATGCATTTGATCTTCCGGAGCAAAGCATCCTGAGAGACAACTATACAACCTGGTTTGAATCCCTGAACTTAGAATATCCAGACAAAATTGCTAGTCTCAAATTGAAAACGTGCAACCTTCAAGAATTTCTTGATCAGGTACCCTACTTGCTTCCTACAGAATGGCCCTGAGACAGAAATGTTAAGGACTTGAGTTACTTTTGAAAGAAAGATTTAGAAAGCATAATGTTTTACTGCACTTGGAAATCATATATTAAGAATACTCTGGATGCTTACCAAACCAATCACATTTTGGTTTGTTTCTAAATTTCCAGCACCAGTACTGCTATGAAATGACTTGAGAGGGAATTGACAAAAATCCTTTCCCATCCCATCTCCCGATTGGCCTTGTACTAACATTCAATTCTTTCCTTATTCCTCCTCTTGTCCTCTTTCTCTGTTGTGGCTCTCCCCCCTCACAGCACGATCCTACTCTCCTCTGTCCTGTCTCAAATCACAACATCCCTTAACCCCATCTGTCTATTCAGTTTTGCCCCCTCTCTGTTATTACTTTCACCACTAAGGTCATTTGATGCACTGCTTCCACTTGGTTCCTGGAGTCCCTTTCTGCCAGGTCCACTACAGATTCTCTTCTATCTGGCTTCAGTCCCTCGCACTCAGTCAAAACTGTTCTTGCCAAGGTCTCTATCTCAGACTAGAGCTCAGAACCAGTACATCCTCCTGCTCTTCCTGGACCTGCCTGCCCATCGGCATTGATCCTAGAACTCCTCTTCTCTCTTTGCACGTCCTGTTTGAGTAACCTCATTTAACAAAACAAATTCAGCTCCCATCACCATGTGTATAGCCCACAGATCTACTTTTCTACTTCAGACCTGTCCAATCTAAAATTGCAGCCTGTTTTTCTGGCATGCCTTCATGGTTGTCTAACCATCTCTATAAGCTCAAAACAGGGCTTTCAAATCCATCCTCCCACCCCCAAAAGCCCTCATGCAACCCTCTGTCTCTTTCATGGTGAACACCATCCCACTGCCACTTAGATACATCACTTGGGTCTCTTCTTTGACTCCAGGTATCTATCTCTCTAGGTCTTCACATCCACACTATATTTAAGTCTTGCAGACAAGGTTCTTTGGGTGAATCTGATATCTTTTATTAGACCAACTTAAATAGTTGGAAAACAATTATAAAGCAAGCTTTTTCGGGTTCAAAAACCCTTCATCAGGCTAAGGAAGTTTCAGCAGTTGGTGTGTGCTCTTCCTCGATGGACTGAGAAGTAAAGAAGCCAGCGGCTGGGCTGGTGTGCATACAAGACAGGTAGTCAGTGAAGATGTAGACTGAGGAGTCAATGGATGAGAGACAGGCTGGGTGCAGGGGAGAGAAGGGGGATGAATAGTGAAGTACCCGGGGAGTCAGATGTCAGGCAGGTTATAATGTGTCATAAATCCAATGTCTATGTTTAGTCCATGATTTTTAGTGTCCAGGAGGTTGATGAAGTGGAGTTCATAGGCTCATCCCTGGGAAGTGTTTTGTAAGTTTCCTTTGAGAATCAGGACTGAGAGATTGGAGAGAGAGTGGTTTTCTTGTGAGAAATGTGCCCCCACAGGTAATTGGGTATTGCTGTCTTTGATAGATTTCCGGTGTGCGTTCATTCTGGTGCGCAGATGTTGTTTGGTCTCCTACATATTTTCCAACAGGGCATTTGGTGCACTGGATGAGATATATTACATTTCTAGAGGTGCAGCTGTAAGATCCGGGGATGCTGATGTCTCTGGTCCAGGCAGGTCAGAAGGCAGAAGGCATGGGTGACCACCACGATGCCACAGAGGTTTCTATGTGTACATGTTGCGGAAGGCATCCTTCAGGAATTGCTCCAGGAAGGTCCTCATGCGGGGTGCCATGGTGAAAGTGGCCAAGCCACAATTGATCTGAGCCTTCAAAAGGCTGAGAAACAGGCGGCAGCACTGGTAGAGGGGATTAGGGGGGCTGCAGCCACCCCAAAATTCACTGTAGCCCTCCCAGTCCCCCTTCCAGCATGCCCCCTGCCCCAAGTGCAGTGCAGCCCAACCCCCAACCTGCCAGGAAGAGCCCAGTGCTGCCCCCAGACCCTGCCCACAGCAGCAGCCTGTTACAGCAGGAGCTGCACCCCCTATCCCATGCCCCTCCCCAGCTGTGCAGCATCTGCCTCTGCCCCAACCCCACACCCTCCCTCACCACCAGTGGGGGGCCAGATTGAGGCCCCACTCAACCCAGACCCTGGGGCCAGGCTCTTCCTGGCAGGGGGGCTAGGTGGCGTTGCACTGGGGGCAGGCGGCGGTGGTACTGGGAGGGGAGTTGCCGGGGGAACTATGAAAAATTTTGGGGTGGTTGCAGTCTCCCCATAGTTCCCCTCCCCGACCCGCTGCTGCCTTCCCTGAGTGCAGCCCGGCCTAGCCCCACCCCCACCCCCACCGTGCCCAGCGCCTCCTTGGCCCAGCAGAGTTACCTGCTGCTGATGCAGTCGAGGTCTTGGAACATATCCCTATTTGTTCTCTTGTAAAGTGGGTTTCCTTTATGAGAATTTGAGTTATGCGCAGTTTTTCAGGAACGCATGTACTGCATAAAGCAAAGGGTACCTACATTTAGAATTTATTTTATTATAGTGATTGAGGCACTGGTAGGCTTCCAAAGTGCTTTAAAACTGTAAATATAGCAGTAAAACATTGTGTTCATCTGTTACCTACCCTTTCATTTTAATCACGGATTTGGGGGTTTTAATCAAAGAATTTGGGATTTTTTTAGAGGAAAACCAGGATCTCTGGTATTCACATACTTTTCATTGATCATAGTCATCTTTCACAGACCCCTTAGGCATAGTCTGTGGACCTCTGAAGAACTGCAGACCACGAGTTGAAAACCACTGCACTAGAGAAGGGGGAGCCAGTGAAGGGTTGCAAGAGAGATGAGTGACATGAAAGCTGTATTCCACATAAGGTTCAAAAGAGCTACTCATTATGTAAAGCATCTGCAAAGCAAGGGATTTATTTAGGGAGCTGAATTTAGGTACTCATCTCCTCAATTCATAGATTTTATGTCCAGATGAGATGACTGTAATAATCTAGGCCAACCTCCTGCACATTACCTGGCATAGGACTTCCCCTAATCAGTTCCTGCTTTCAGTTCCATAGCTGTGCTTGAACTAGAATGTATCTTTAAAAAAAATCCAATCCCAAATTTTGACCTCATGGTTCAGAATTTGAATGTACCATATGTGCATGTATATGATATTGCAATATGTTTGTAAAATAAATCTAAGTGCTAAGATGCCCTATTATCTATTTGTCAATTCCACAGAGTGCATCTGGAACTGGCTTGGCCTTTATTGTTTTCACTGAAGCAATTATTCTGATGCCTGGGTCACAGGTCTGGGCTATCCTGTTTTTTGTAATGTTGTTCAGCCTGGGTCTTTCTTCTATGTTTGGAAATATTGAAGGAGTCTTTACTCCTCTGATGGAGCTTAATCTTATACCTAAATCTGTGCCCAAAGAAGCTATATCTGGTAAGACAACTGTTTTTGTTTTCTTTGCTTTTCTCCCAGAAACTCATTAACACTTACCTATTTAATACATATTTTGGGGGGAATTAGTTATCTAAAATATTTGTTCACAATGCAAACAATAAATTGGCTAGCATGTAAGGGTATTGGAACTGCTTAATTTGCTTTCTTAAGTGTCTTTGTACCAATTAGATAGCATGGTTATACCAGGCGTTGCCTGACTGCAATCTTATCCAAATCCTTCAAGCTCTTTTTCTTAACTTGTGAGCACAACTGAGTCTTGAAAAAATGCTGCTAGTCTTGGTATGAATTTCATTTTGTAGGAAATGTTACAACCAACTTAATCTTTCTAATGAGAATCATAGATTTAATAGATTTCATAGACGTTAGGGCTGGAAGGGATCTCGGAAGATCATTGAGTCCAGCCCCCTGCCCCAAAGGCAGGAAGCCAGCTAGGGTCAAAGGATCCCAGCAACATAAATGTCCAAATGTTTCTTAAGAGTCCAAAGTAGGTGCTTGCACCACCTCTGGAGGGAGTCTATTCCAGGCCTTGGGGGCTCAGACAGTAAAGAAGTTTTTCCTTATGTCCAGCCTGAAATGATCTTGGAGGAGTTTGTGACCATTCAATCTTGTCATCCCTTGGGGCGCTCTGATGAACAGGCATTCCCCCAGATCCTGATGTACACTCCTTATATACTTATTGGCAGCGACCACGTCCCACCGAGCCTGCGGTTTTCCAGGCTGAAGAGTCCCATGGCTCTCAACCTCTCATCACAGGGCCTGTTTTCCTGCCTTCTGATCATGTGCGTGGCTCTCCTCTGGACTCTCTCAAGCTTCTCCACATCCTTTGTAAATTGGGGAGCCCAGAATTGGATGCAGTACTCCAGCTGTGGCCTCACCGAGGCCAAGTACAGCGGGAGGATGACATCCTGGAATTTGCTTGAGACGCGTCTATGGATGCAAACCAGAGTTTTGCTCGCTTTACCAGCTGTGACATCGCATTGGTGGCTCATATTCATCTTGTGGTCAATCATGACCCCCAGGTCCCTTTCGGCCATGATGCTAGCAAGTGTAGCACTACTGAGCCTATAAGCGTGCTGCAATTTTTTTTTTTCCCCCAAGGTGGAGTACCTTGCATTTTTCAGTGTTGGATGTCATCAGGTTATCATCCACCCATTTTCTGAGCCTGCTGAAGTCGGCCTGAATCACCAGCCTATCCTCAGTTGTGGACGCTTTACCCCAAAGTTTGGTGTCATTGGCGAACCTAGCCAGTCCGCTTCTGACCCCGATGTCTACATCATTAATAAAGATGTTAAAGAGTATAGGCCCAAGGACGGAGCCGTGGGGGACCCCACTGGTCACGATGCACCACAACGATTTACTTCCATCTATTACCACTCTCTGGGTCTGACCTCAGAGCCAATTCCCCAT